GTTGGGTGAAGTGCTCTATAGATGTCTATAAGGCCAAGTTGGTGGATTGTATTGTTTAGCTCTTCTGCATCTTTGTTGAGTTTCTTTCCAGTTATGAGGTACCATTTTTAAAAGTTGTGTAGGAAATGCAGAATTTCCGTGTTCCCTTTCTTGCCTCTGCACAGTTCCCCTAATTATTAATATCTTGGATTTGTGTGAACATGTGTTACAATTCATGAACCAACGTTGACACATAATGATTATCTAAAGCCCATAGTCAATCTTAATGTTCGCTCTTTCTGTTGTCAAGGTCTATGGATTTTGGCAAATTTCCAATGTCATATATCTACCACACGGAATAGTCTCAGTCCCCTTAAATCATCCTGTGTTCTATCTATTCAACCTTCCCTGCAAGCCCCTGGCAACCACTTATCTTTTTACTGTCTCCATAGTTCTGTGAAGGCAAGATGTTCATGCAGAGAGCAAATGTAACAGCCCAGATGGACAGGGCACACCTAAGGAGGTGGCACTGCTGCATGTGGTATGGGCCTGGCTCTTCAAGGCTCTGGGGACATGATTAGTCCTCCCAGGGCAGTCAGGAGAGGCTGCATGGCTCAGATGTCGGCCATCTTGGGAGATGGACCAGCATGTGTAGAGATAGGGCCTCTGCTCAGCCCTGTCTGACTCCAAAGGGGATCTTGGCCCCTTCATTTCACCATTTTTGTTTCTGTGTCCTCATTGCAAAAAAGTCAGCTTATTTCCTCTCTGCTTGTTCTGTCAGATTGGAGCCAGGCCGCAGAGTGCAACATCTTTGAAAACATGTAACGTAGCATAAAGAAAACAATGGCCATTGACTAGAGCTCCAGGCCTTTCTTCTGAGGTGCCTCTGGGAGGACTTGAACCTCCTACCTTTCAGTTAGTGGCCAAGTCCATTGACCATTTGTACCACCTGGGGACTCCATAACAGAACATAGACCCAAACAAACCAAACTCACTGCCAATTCCAACTCATAACATAACATAGCATAGAGTAATATGCATGGTACCCGTGCTTAACCCATTACCTGGTGGCCTTCATTCTGCCCCTTGCCCTGTCCCTTCAATGAACCCACATACCTCCACAGCTTGGATAAACCCCATGTGCTGAGCTGACCTCCTTCCCCTGGCTTCTTGCCTTCCTTCCCTTCTAGAACGGAACAGTCCTTGGTGCCCTGGTTCTGAGGGCAGGTTCAGGGCCACCACCACTCTGTAGGGGCTAGCTGGTCAGCGAGGGTCTGGAGCCCTCTGGTGTTGGACGTGGGGAACCGCCGGCCTTGGTGATGCAGGCGGGTCTGTTGGCCAAAGGCTCCAGCCACAGACTCCTCCCCTGGATGCTTCTCCTCCCCACAGGCTGGCCTCGGCCGCGCTGGCGATTTGGCCGTTCTGGTGCTGCCACATTCCCCAGGCCCCCAGTCCTCCAGCCCCAGGCTCAGGTACCAGCAGGCCTTGGAAGGTCAGGATGGGATTTTGGAGGGTCTAGCAGGGGCAGGAGGGACACTGGCTTCCTGGGGAGAGATGGAGACCCCAGAATCCTTTCCCACTGGGCATACTCTTCTCATTGCCTTCCATGCTGGTCCTAACACCTAGAGAACAAGACTCTCATTCCCGGTTACCTCCCATCCCCACAGTGTGGATTCAGAAGGGAGAAGTCACCTTCTGGAAGAGGACTCCGAAGTCTTCAAGATGCTGCAGGAAAATCGTGAGGGGCGGGCGGCCCCCCGGCAGTCCAGCTCCTTTCGGCTATTGCAGGAAGCCCTGGAGGCTGAAGAGAGAGGTGAGGGGACCCAGGGGCTCAGGTAGGGGAAGGTGGTCCCCAGAATATCACAGAGTCCTGACTGGGCATTTTATTGAACTATATTTCTTGAGTACCTGTTAAGTGGCCGGCATAGGATTGGGCACAAAGGCGGGACAGACATGAAGAAGACACGGTCCTTGCCTTTAAGGAACCTACAGTCCAGCAGTAGGGGTTACCCAGAAGGCGGTGGCAGTGTTAGCTGGGGTCAGGAGAGTG